ATCAGTGTGCAAGTTTAAATTCTGACACCTTAACTCACCCTTGACATGCTAGGTTTATTAATTTATGTTTTTCTTTCCCCTTTTTTCAGGTTCAAAGGTTAACTTTTGATGATCAGATAAATTGCTTTCTGCGGACAAAGGAAGCAATCAAGGCAAGGTTAGGAGATGAGGCTACAAACAAGCTTTGCAATGAGGCCACGTACTTCATTGGAATTGGTAGGCCTTGCATTGCCAAAATAATTATTTAATGTGTTATGCATATCCTCTTTTTGTTTTTTTTTCTTCCCCTAATATTTCACTTTAATTAACATGTTTAATTTTTTTTTTTTTTTCCAGGTAGTAATGACTATGTCAATAATTTCTTGCAGCCTTTCCTAGCAGCTGGGCAACAATACACTAATGATGAATTTGTTGATCTCTTGATATCCACCTTGGACCAACAACTTTCGGTAAAAGCCAAAAAAAAAAAAAAAATGATCTGTTCTGGAAATAAAGTGATTTTGGGTTCAGTTTTGAGTAAATCCTTACTAAAATTCTTGAATTTCAGAAACTGTACCAGCTTGGGGCAAGAAAAGTAGTGTTCCATGGGCTTGGACCACTGGGCTGCATTCCTTCCCAAAGGGTGAAATCAAGGAAAGGCCAATGCCTAAAGAGAGTTAATGAATGGGTGCTTGAATTCAACTCCGCAGCGCAAAATCTAGTTACATCTCTCAACAACCGCTTCCCAAATGCAAAATTCACGTTTGCAGATACATACTCTGATATCTTGGAGTTAGTAGACAATCCCACTGCCTATGGTAAGTTACCTCCCACCATGGAACTTAGAGCTTATTTAACTTCACTGTAACAGAGAAAATCATTTTCAGAATCTGGTGAAACAAGCTCTTAGTCTAGCCATTTTAACTTAAAAAAGAAGATTACCATTGGGCTAGGAGGTCATTGGCATTGAATACCTTTTCCTTTCTATGGTTGTAGCAGATGAGAGAATTTATCCCTTATATTTCATTTGACCAAAATTTTTTTAAAATTTTTGTGCAGGTTTTAAGGTGTCAAACACATCATGTTGCAATGTGGCAGCAATAGGAGGATTGTGCTTGCCTAACTCAAAACTGTGCAGCAATCGCGATGAGTATGTATTTTGGGATGCATTCCATCCCTCAGATAAAGCAAACCAAGTGCTGGCTGAAAAGCTGTTCCACAGGCTCTTCTCTGCCACTGCCACTCCTGCTCCTGCTCCTGCCCCTGCCCCAAAGCCTCATTGACTTACAAAGACAGGGAGAAAGGGCATTATGCATGTTTTACCCATACTTAATTTTATGACAGCAAAAGTATGGTTAATATGAAAACCTCTACAATCTTCAATACGAATTTCTCTATGGAAGTTTCATTAAAATGCCTTAAATCTAGTTGGAGTTTTAATATATATATATGTGTGTGTGTGTGTGTGTGTGTGTGTTGTGTGTGTGTTTAAAAAAAAAAGAACTTTTATTTCTAAATATTGCAGGTCTTGCATCTGTGCAAAAGTGGATGCACCATTTTCCTTAACTAAAACTACCAACTCACCATACCTCCAAAATGAGAGGGGGAAAGAGGTACCCCCCTAGCTATGACCAACATCTAATTTCAAAACTTTTCTAATAAATTGCAAAAAGAATTCCCACATACAAACACCAACCTACAAGAAAATTACACTCCACAGCACAATTTTGATTAACACTAATAAACCTGTAACTCTGAGACCATAAAATTTGCGACCTGGAGCATTTGAAGTTGTTGAGTTCATTGATGGGGCTGTTATGTTTGTCGTGGTGCTATTCCTGCCAAGGCTGCATTCACAAGTCAATAGCAAAAGGAAATGAGTTTTTGGTGTGTTGAGTGTTTATGAAAATTATCAAGGAGATTATCTAAATTCTTTACCTTCCAGGAAACATGCAGGAACCATGACCTGCACACCAAAAGCAAAATCATCATTAATACCAAATGCATGGTTGTATTAAATCCAAGTCCAACCTGACAAAACATAGAGAGTAGAATATGATTTATCATTCTCTGAGGATCATACTTGGATCAGTGGTTGTAATTGAGGCAACCCCATTGAAGTCACATGCATCAGGAACCTTCCCCATTTTATGATAGTAAGTGTCAAAAGCATAAGTTGCATGAGCAATCACATTGTCTGGCTCATAACATGGTTGCCCCTGCAACAATGGTGAGCAATCAACTTTCCCAGGTCCACAAGCCCAATCTAAAGCTGCCTGCAGCATCTTTGGATCAGCACCATCCCTAGCAGTGCAGTAAGTTTGGTTGGTGGTATCATTGGCTAGCACTGAACCTGACTCTGTCAAGCGTAAAATGTAAACAGGATCCCCATTGGCATCAAACAATCCCCAATTCTTCTCTGAGATTGGCCCCGGTTTCAAATCCTCATTATAGAGCTCATAAATGTAAGTACTGACAGCAATTCCAGGGCGCTTGGGAGTTCCAGTTTGGTTCAGCACATGACGAATTAGATTGCTGTTGTAACTGTTGGCATTGTCTAATGTTGCATCTGGCTCATTAGCATCACCTTTTGATGGCCATCCTGATTCAGTCACTATGACAGGGATGTTGGTGAAGTTTAGGAAAGCCATAGCAAAGTAGGCTGCATCAACTGTAGCATCAAAGACATTGGTGTAATGGACAAGCGTATTAGAATCAACAGCTTCCTTGTTTGGAGGGAGAGGCTTGAAGAGTGCATAATCTAGTGGAATGACACCATTTGATTGCATGTAGTCATAATAAGGGTATATGTTGAGCATGAGATATGAGCCTGTAGACTGCAAGAAACTAAGCATGGGAACCAAAACTTGATTCCATGAGCGATTGAAGAAGGCTTGGGAAGGTGGGAATGAATCAAGGATTACAGACGAAGAAAGAGGTGTCGAAACTTTGATCTGGTTGTCTAAATTGGATGCCACAAGAGCTGAGTGAATGTACTTCATGCCATTGATAAGGACTGGTGCTGCATTTGGCAGTGCTGTTAAGACCTCAGAACCAACACAAACTGCAGTAATGTTGGTGGCAGGATAATGTGCTACAATATTCTTTGAAACCCAATTAGCAGCAGTGGAGTTTGACTGGCCAATTCCTAGTAGCTGCTCATTGGGGACAGAGATCATGACCTGAATGCCAGTCTTTGCAAGAGCAATTAGCATGCCTTGGTCAGCATCATATAGCCTGACATGCCGGATATTCTGGGCTTTAAGAAGAGCTACTACTTGAGTTGGGTGAGGCATGTCCGAGAGGTCTGTTCCAATATTGACACCAATATATGCATCTGCAAGAATTGAAAAGAAAAGTACTGTATTTATTTTTTCAACTCACTTAAATACCAACTTCCACTCAGTGCCTCTTTCTGATTAAGAAAATAGTGAATAATATGGTCCAAATGTACTTCTTTGTTTTTTTTTTTTTTTAAAGAATGGAGTGTTCACATATCCCCATCAAGTTCTAATTCCAAAGCATGTAAAAGTGCCTAAGTTCTCTAAATTTTTGACTATTTGCACCAATCAAGGCAAAGGGTGCTTTCTGCTACACTATAAGAATGAATAGAATGGAATCAAATGACCTCCAGCTGGAAGACAACACATGCTGGTCTGAAGTCAGGGGCAAAAATTCTTCAAATCTCCTGGTTTTGACATTAGCAATAAAGGAGGCTTCCACATTGAATGTTGCAATAAAAGAGAAAAGAAAAAAAAAAGTAATAAATTAGGCCCCTCATTCCTTTCTTTGCAAGAGGGTTATACATTTCTTGATTCTTGATAAACATGTATCTTTGACTACCCCACCACCCCCCAACTGCCCATGTGTTCTGCTTTATTGTGCTATTCAATGTCTAACCTACTACTAAATCTCACATGGAAATAAAGCCTAAATCAAAGGGGGAAAATGCAAAAATGGAGAAAACTTCATGCACACATTTCTCTAACAAGAGAGAGTTGATTTCATCTAAATCTAAACATTTTGGTGGAGGAAGAAATTAACTGATTGCATACTACACACAGAAATGAAACTTGGAGAATGAAATCAGAGTCTCAAGACTCTCAACACAAAATATCAAAATACCCATTAACATAAAAGCTTCAGAAAACAGAACATGAAAGAAGAAAGAAAAGCTCACCTTCATCAGCTGTTACTCCAGAAATTGCTAAAAGCAGCAGAAGAAGAAGCACCGCCATGGACTTAATCTCACAAAAAAAAAACAGCCCCAAATGATTCTGATATCAAGGCCTAACTATAAAGAAAGATGTGGAAAATGAGAACAAAGAGAAAAGCAAAGTGGGGTAGAGGAGCTGGAAGAAAAAATAAGGAGGAGCTGTGAATTACAACCGGAAAAAAGATGGTAACAAACAAGACACAAAAAAGGAAGAAAGGAAAGGAAGTGGGGCAGAGCAGAAGGGAGAGAAGGATGACATAAATATAGCTGTAATGAGGGGGAGGTGGGCATCAGGGAATCAATGGCACAGATTTCATCTGCATTTTGCACAGATACAGTACTGGATTTCTTTAGCTACTTTTATGTAATGTTTTTGTTTTTTTGTTTTGGGGTTTTCGCGGTTGCGAGTGCATGCATGCTCTGGATATGTGTGTTTCCTGGACAAAAGCGATAGGAATTTGTGGGCCCCCCAATTGTTTTTAGGACATCAGCAGTGGGGTCACCGAGAAAGCAACAGTTGGACTCAACGGTC